AGACACACGGTAGTTCAATTGTCCTGTAATTGATTATACCAACTATCACTTGGTTAAGGTGGTCTGCCAGAGCTTATCCTTGGGTAAGTGATAAATAATCTGCAGAGTGATACTCTGAGACTGTGGGCATCCTGTCCCATAACAACCCTTTCCCTAATGGTTTTAGCATCCATTAAGGATCCTTGACTGAATCAATTATTACCTTGTTGGTTACAAAATGGAGTTTTATATTTCTACTATGCCTTTGGTGCTTATTAGCTGGTATTCTTTACAAAGATGAGCTACCTACTATTCTCTTTTTCATGAATATCTATGGATTTATGGTTCCTCTTTTACTCAATGTGTTCTAATTCATCCATATCATTCTTTTTGTTGTTCAAACTGTCCCGCATTTGGTTAGTGGGAGTCCTTTCAAGATAGCATCTATGTCTTTTTGTCCTGTCTGGATTAATATTAGTACTTCCTTGCTTTCTGGCATAGTAAGATGTGCTTATCTTATGCTTTCTTTGCCTCAGGCCGGGACCCAACTATTTCCCCTAAGAGCTAAGGTATATAGAAACAAAGATCTGGGTACTTTTCTTTAAAAATATGTTTAATCTAAAGAAAGTTAAAGTCATTAATCATTTGTTTAAGCTCCCCTGTCTCCCAGCTCCAACTAAAATATTCCCATGGAGGCACTTGGAGTTTAGAGATTGGAAGGAAAGGACCAGTGAGAGGAGGTGGTTCATCGAAAGTGCAGGCCTTTGGGCTTTGGATGAAAGTGGCACAATGATGCAAAAAGGGATGTGAGCTGGTGCCAAAGACCAATTTAGACTATGTTGGGATTATGCTCAGGAAGTGACTAGAGAGCCTGAGAAAACAATTTCTGCTTGTTTTACAGGTAGACTCTGAAAACATTGGTTGCCCTTTTTTATATCCGGTAATGCTAAGAGACTGTATTTCCCTGAGCTATACATATGCTAATTCTTAGAGCAATTTAAGAAATATAGGTCTCATACTGAGAGTTCCTAAGTGCGCTGTATTTTCAGAGTCAGTGTGAGGCATGTATAGATAGATGGATGAATATTTCAGCATATCTTCTTTTGAAAATTCATTGTTTTTATTTCAAGTATTCACAATTGAGTATACTATTTACTTGCTGATTATAATATTTTGTTGCAGATTATTAAAGGTGCATATGTGCAGCATTTTAGGCAGCAACTTGTGAGACACAGAAACCAAGAATTTCAGAGTTATTTTTCAAAGTAATCAGCATGCATTTGATAAAATGAGAGTCTCTGAGGGAGATCTTGAACTTGAACTGACTGATTTGTCTGAAACTCGGTATCTCCTCTGTGATCTATTTTTATGTATAATAGTATAATTAAAATGTTTATTTGCCTATTCTTTCTTTCAACAGAAAGAAAAGAAAACAAAACAAAACATGAAACTAGTAGCTTTTGTTTCCATTTGATAGGAAACCTATGAAAACTGCTTAAAAATACAAAAGCAGATTTGAAACAGAAGGGTTTTGTTTTTGTTTTTCATCGAAGTCAGCGTTTTTGGAAGTAAAAAACAAAAACAAAAACAAAAACCCCAAAGACTACTACATCTATACTTCCTATAGTAGGAATATGGTTGTTATTCAGATGTGCACACTACATGTTACAGGTGCTTTGTAATTTTATGAAATAAAACTGCACACAACACGCGTACATACACACACAGAACCACTGACTTAATCCTCAGTACATTCTTGAGAATGGAAAGTTTTATTAAAGCAACTGGTTTATATCAAATCATTATTGAATGTATGGTATGAGAGGAAGATTCAACTGAAAATGGAAAGAGACACATCATTTAGATGTGCTTCTTGCAAGCATAGGTGAGTGGTCTCAGGTATGTGGTGGCCAGATTGTCCTAAATTGTCCCTTGACTCCTGAGTAACTGCACCATTCAGTGCTTATGTGATGTCAGTGTATGGGAATAAACCAAGCACACTCATGACTAAGGAGTCACCATTTTTGGCAAATGGATTATTTTCAAAGTCAAGTTTTGTTGTTGTTGGGAACATTTTAACATAATGGAGTTCTTTTGGAAATCATAAAGATGAATCTGTCTTATCTTATGTTCTATTTAAAACTGCCCAAGTGAGGTATTCATCCCTATGCCCAAATCCATCAATGCTTGTATTTCTTTAATCTTGATCTTGTTTGAAAAGAGCTTTATCCAGAACACAGTTTCTTCATTCAGAATGAAATTGCTTTTAGACATTAAAAAGCTTGTAGACAATTATATAATTGAAAATTTTCTTTCATCTAGATTTTACTAAATTCATGACTGTGTTAGCCAGTAAAAGCAAATTATATTTTGGCCTTTGTAATGGATTTATGTACTTTGAACATCTCCCTTGGGACTGTGTTTGCTCTTGAATTGTGAGATAGAAAATACTTTGAGAAGCTCAGTCATGAGACTTGATCTGTTAATACTTGAGGAGGAAGCTTCTGGTGTACTTGTTGCCGCATTGGCTTTCATTCTATTGACTGGATTCACATGTGAAATTATAGTGGGGATAAAAAGAGGTTTTCCCACTAAATACCTTAGTCTTATTTTTATATAGTATATTGTTATTTTTAATCATAAAAGTAGAGGTGATTCTTGTGGAAAACTCGTGTACCATAGGAAAATGCAAAGAAAGTAAAATTACTCTAATTCCGTTATCTCTAATTAGCAGCTATTCAAATGTAGACTTTTTTCCTTCGTGTTTTTTTCTAGATATAGATACATTTAAGCAAAATAGGGACCATATGGAACATACTGCTTTATAGTCTGCATTCCCAAAGAACGTTGCTTAAAAACATTTTCCAATTTAATTAAATATCTTATAGATTTTTAAAAACTGTTTATTCATGTTGGATATTTATATTTTATAAATTGCTTAAAATGATATTACTTATAAGAGAAAACTTCTTTAGATATATCTTTATGTGTATCTTAGACTTTTTTTAGGATAACTTCAGAGTCTTTTTTTCATCTTACTGGTTTTAAGGAATGAAAAGTAATTGTTCTTATCAGTAATTACAGTTAAGCCTTTTTGACGGCAAGAATCTGTTTTTATAATATCATATTCTTGGTCTGTACAGAATGGTGCAGTAATACCTCATTTATCAACACTATTAGGGACTTATCTTAAATAATTTTTTCACATAATTGAAACTGACCCTTAAGGGTCCATAGTTGGTAATTAAAAACATTGTGAATGAGAATCTTTCTAAAATTGTATTACATATGTTGCTATCCCCTTCCTTTAATATAATTAAAAGATATGAAAATCACAATTTAACCCCTTCTGGTTTAAATTATAAGCATCATTATAAACACTAGTTATTGTGCAGTCAGTTCGCTGAAATGTGATATATGCATTTCTAAGAACTGCCATGCTGTGCAAAATCATGTAGTAAAAACCCATAGCACTTAGGGGCTAAATAGGGTCAGGGACACAATACTCAAAAACCTTTACGAGTGATACATTAAAAAAATAAGATAAGAACTGAGTAAAAATTGTAGCACAATTTTACACATATTAGGTGGTTGAGGAGTAGATCAATAGTACAATAAATATGGCATTTTACCTTGACAGAGTCCTGACCTTTTCTTGAGGACTGAGACCTTGGAAGGATTGCAGCTTGTGAGTTATTCTGCAGTGGTGGAAGGGGGTTACCTGAAATCAAAAGGAAAGTTGGGGCACCTGATGTGGACAGGTGTGGCTCATAGTACACTCGTGGAAACTGAGGTCGATGGTAGATGTTTGAGGCATGGGCTTTGTGCATTCTGTGTATCCTTATGCAGCTGGGTTGGTTCTGCCTGGGTGCAATCTTCTACTATTACCTAGCATTGCTTACAATGAAATTATACATAAACAAATGTGAAATTTGAGTTATGCTCAAATCGTTCCCTACTATATCAGTCTTGGAATCACACAAGCTTATAGCAGAACTGAGTGTACTGTATGGTAATACGGTGATATGTAAGGGATAGTCTGCTTGTCTCTATCCTACTTAGAGTTAATACTTGTAAAATACATAGAGAAGAATCTAGCATAAGAATCAACACTGTATAAGTATTGGCAGTAACAATGACAATAATAAGCGATGCCTATTGATTTTTCTGGGATTCTGTCTGCTTTTCAGTTATGACTGCCTACTGTAGCTGTTCTTTCTGCCTCCTTCTAATTGACCTATTTTTCAATCTCTTGTGGCTCTTAAATGAGTTAATCATGCTTCTTAGAATTACATCTAATATAAAGCCTGGAGTGGGAGAGCACAGACTTTAGATTATGATTTATCTGTGTTTTACCTACTCAGACTTCTTTATTTTATGAATGAGTTATTACTTATGTATCCATTCACAGGATTGTTAGAGAAGTAACTTACATTTTAAGTGAAGTTATTAACATGCAGAATTTGGGGATTTTTCTGTTTTATTAGAAAAAAATTAACAGAATTCTCTCTTCTCATTCTCTTAGGAAAGGTGCTTAAATGAATATATCTGTTGGGCATTTAAAAGTTGTTGATGACTTTCTTTAAGTTGTTATTGTTCACTTCTATTTACAACCGTCTCTGTCTTTATGAGATGAACTCATCTTTGGAAGGTGGGGTAGGCAAGTGTGATTTCAGAAGACTTTCCCTCCCAAGTTACAGTATAATTAGAAGTCCAGATCTTCCCTCAGTTGCTTTTTATGATTCCCTGAGAAAGACATTTTTAGTGAACGGTTGCCAAGAAGCCTTGCTGATTCCTGCTTTAGTAACTTTAATAAGACAACAGATCAGAATACCTTCTAGATTTAGCAAGCCTTTTTAGTATTATTCTGAAAGAAAAATAACTAACAAAGCTCATCATTTAGATATTCCAATGAAATCTATTTTAATTATGCAGAGAGACTGAATAGCAATGGGGTGTTTTGATTTCTAATTTCTAATCTGACAATGAATTTTAACTTTTTGTCTCTACATAATTTTTAGATATATTTGGGCTGCTTGAACTCATTGAGTGATTGCTATTAACAAGACTTTGTGGGAAAAGGAAACTTGCCTTCTGAGCTTTGTACCAAAGACCTGGGAAAAGTAAGTAATTTTCTAACTTGCTCTAAAATTTTTTTGTTATACTTCTCTCAGAAAGTTAACAGTGAGTCTGTGGCTTTTCTTTCTTTCCTTTCTTGCTTTGTAAGTTTTAATGTGCTCTTATGGATTTGAAACATGGAAAGAAACTCAAGAGACCTTTTAAAAAAACCTTCTAAAGAGATTAGAATGACTCTCTGCATTGTGCCATTTCTTTTGCATGTCATTAACTGAATCCTCAAGGTTGTGATAAAACCTTTATCACATGTACAGTAGATGAATTAAACTTTAAAGGTAAGAGAATGTAACATGGTGTGACAGGAAAGTGAGCCCAGTTTTCTGAGCTTCAGGTGTTTTAGACTTTTACATAGGCTCTTTGGTTCTGAATTTTTAGAATAAAGATGAAATCTATTTGGTTCTTTTGTCTGGAAAGGAAAATAAATGTAGAGTCACTTGTTCAATAAGTCTCTTGTGTAGGTTAGTCTTGGAAGATTTGATGCACTTGTCAGTTTTATTATTTTATACCTTTTTTGAGGTACTCTAAGGTATTCTAATTATGACAACTATACGAATGGTTTTGCTCCTTTAGAAAAATTACTTGGGGCTATAAAGTTCAGTTTTATTCTCTGATCTTTTTGAAAAGGTAAAATGGAGCTTAAAGATCAGTCTACTTTGTTTTGTAGATACCACTTGAAAGTGTGAATGACCCATAAGAATGTAAGCACAACAAAACACACACATGCATGCACCTTCCTTTCTGTTCCAGAAGCAATATCATTGACAATAGGAACTGTTCATATATTAAATTACTAGATAGTTTTCTAAACTTGATGTGCCTTGTGTCTTACAGCTGGTCTACATTTGCAACAGTATAAATAAGCTAGTCGAAGCATGTCTAAAATAAAGCAAGGCAGAAAAGAACTTTGCTCTAGAAGTTCCCATAGGTGCATTATATAGTAAGATCAGATTTAGTGTGATATCGTAATTACTATAAATCAAATTGTGTATTTTATAATAATTATAATAAGATAAGGGTCTTTATGAACCTTATTTGAAATTTAATAAGATATTTGTCCTGAAAAAATATTATACACACACACAGTATACACTCACCATTAATATAATTTCTGAAGACTGTCAAGTCTCTGCTAATATGAATCTGTTGAAAGAAAGAATTTTGAAAATTTTCTTTAAAAGCAGTTTTTTTGTTACAGTGAAATATTTACAGTAGTGAAATACTGTTGTCAGCAGAATTTTTAAAAATGACAGCAGTTTATTTAGTTGAATTTTGTAGTCTTGTATTCACATATTAACCTTAAAATAAAGGAAATCCTATCTGGTATAGTTGTCATTCTATCTTGGAAGGATATTTGAAAAAGGATTATCTCAGAAGTTACCAATCTGTCCACAGAAATGGAATGAAAAGGGCAAGAGATTAATTCTTGGGCTTCAGGATCCAGATATTTTCAGTGGTGTTTAGATTGGAAATATAACTTAGCCCCAGAAAGTAAGCTGCTTAAACTTCCTTTCAAATAATTTAGTATCTCTCGAAAATTTAATATCGTCTCTGGTGAAATATTTTCCTTCCATTATACCAAAATATATTCTTTGTGACATATTCTTTGTGTTGTAAAGATATTTTTCTGTTTTGTAGAGGCAAGGCATCTAATAATAATAAGCTAAAGACAAACACTGTGTTACCAGAGGGACCATGTCAAACAGATTCTTGTTTACCAAACCTGATGTCATAGGTGAATATTTATATGCACTGAAGATATTCACAATTCACTTTTAAGTTAAAAAAAAAAATAGAAGAAAGTTATAATGTATAAGTATGCTCCACAAAAATCGAGTCCTGAAAAACTGGTTATATGGAAGTAAGCATTAAAGAAGAATGTGGGCGGGCGGGGAAGAAGGAGGGCAGACCTTTCTGAAACTTGTAAGTCATGCGAGAATGTGCCTTATTGGGAATTTCTTTCTGGGGAGGCAAGCTCACAATTTTAGGGAAAGTCCAGAACCCTAGACAGACAACCTTCACATTTTTTTTTAACTCCCCTTTGTCCTCTAATTTTTTTCTTAATCACAAATATGTTTTCAAGGTCTTTCTTGTTTCAAGCATTTTATTTAATTATTTGATGTAGATTTCTGGAAACTTGAATCTGTAATGTTGACAAAAACATGGATGTACTTTTGATAAGTTAGCCATGGATTATTTTAAAAGAAGTAAAAAATAGCTTCTATTTTTTATTATCTTATTTAATAAATATATATTTTATGTTAATACTCAAAAAGTAAAATATGCTATAAGTTGTTTGGTATCCTGTCTTTTCCATTTAATAAATGATGAAATCCTATGCTAATAAGTATTTATCTATAATGTTATTTTTAGTGAAAGCGAAACAATTGGATCTTTTTGTTTCATTTGTGGCTATCCTGGCTTTCAGTTAAGAGTATACATATGTGAAATATATGGTGCAGGTTTTTTACCTGCAAACAGAATAGATAGGATTCTCCTTCTATAATCTGTACAGTGTTTGCTGTAACCAGACATGTTCCAAATAGGAGACTTGTGGGAGTAAATATGTGTTCGAAATTGTAGCTGTCACTGTGTGTCAGGTACTGTGTATAAAGTGCCGTGTTTTCTTTGGGCTCTTTGTTATATTACAAGAGTGCAGGTGGCATTTTCCTGTCGCTTAGCTGTCTTCAATATTTCTGTGCTTAAGGAAGGTTTCTACCTACATATTGTTTTCTTGCAAGAAAGTCTAAATTTCTCAGATGAGGTGATGGGGTACAGAAGGAACATTTCATAGATTTTGAAATATAATTTATTGGAGTAAATTGCAACCCAAATTAGAGATGCAAAATGTTTTATAGACCTTTGCATGCTTTCTCAATTTTAAGTTTACTTATTAAGGCAACTTTTGCTGTGCAACTACTATGTGCTGGACACTGTGTTAGAAGCTCATTATTCGAAGAGTAATAAGATATGCTCTTCCTTTCAAGGAACTTAATTTGAATTTCAAATTCTGAACTCAGATAACATTTATTCGGCATGCGACAAGCAGTAGGCTGGATGTTCTTAAAATAAGGTAGTTAACCACTAAAATTCAGTGATGATAATTATTGACCCATCTCCTCCAAAATAAGTTATTAATAGAATTTTTTAATCTTTAAGTTTTTTCTTTCATTATATTTTCTCAAACTTTTGGTACCTGCTGCTACTTGTTAAGTTAAATTAGCAAATGAAATAATAAGTATTTAACTGATAAATTTAGAAGAATTATTTTAAAAACATGTATTAGTGTGTGCGTATATGTACACACTTTTTTTTTTTATATTTAGAAACCCGTATACATATTATATACTCATAATTTCTCCTGGTAGAGTAGAGTAGTTTCTTAGTTCACATGAGACAATTAAATCTATCAGTTTCATAGCATTCTGCCCTTAGAGTGGCTCCACTATTTGAAGATGTACGGAAGCTATAGCTTCAAGTCACCAGATTTTCACAGTAATTCTTTATTTGTTTAAGTTAAATTTATTAGGGTGACATTGGTTAATAAAATATAGGTTTCAAATGTACAATTCTATAATACATCATCTGTATATTGCATTGTGTGTTCACCACCCAAAGTCAGATCCCCTTCTGTCACTATATATTTGACCCACTTTACCCTTTTCTACCTTCCCCCACCCTACTTTCCCTCTAATAACCACTAAACTGTTTTCTGTATCTATGAGTTTTTGTTTGCCTTGTTTATTTGTTGGTTTCAGTTTTATATCTCACGTGAATAAAATTATATGGTTCTCAACTTTTTCTGTCTGACTTATTTCACTTAGCATGAATTTCAAGATCCTTCCATGTCGTCACAAATGGTAGTATTTTATCTTTGGTTATGGCCGAATAATATTTGTGTGTGTGTGTGTGTGTGTGTGTGTGTGACATCTTCTTTATCCAGTTATCTATCAAAGGGCATTTTGATTGGTTCCATGTCTTGACCACTGTGAATAACGTTGCAGTGAACATTGGGGTGCTTATATCTTTATGAATAAATGTTTTCAATTTTTTCTGGCAGATACCCAGAAGAGAGATTGCTGGGTCATATGGTAATTCTATTCTTAAGTTTTTGAGGAACCTACATACTGCTTTCCATAATGACTGTACCAATTTATATTCCCACCAGCAGTGTATAAGTTTTCCTTTTTCCCCACAACATCTCCAACACTTGCTGTTACTTGTCCTGTTGATGATAGCCATTCTAACAGGTGTGAGGTGGTATCACTGTGGTCCTTGCTATAGGTATTATTGAAACTTAGAAGGAGAAGGTAACTTGCCCACATTTGCGTTAGGATTCTAGTTCCAATCTATCTAACTTTAAAGCTCATGCAGTATCCTCCTGACTCCCGTGAGCTGGTGGGGAAGGTAGACTCACAAATGCTCTGGCCCTGCTGAGGAAGGGACAGTCGTTTCAGCTGAGGAATCAGGAAGTGTGTTTGCTGCACTGAAGAGCTGGCAATGAAATAAGTCTTATGGGCTGAGTTAGAAGACAGAGAGGAAAGGGGAGAGTATTTGGAGCTGCAGGAAAAGCATGTGCAAAAGCATAGAGGAGTGGAAGCTCATGGCATGTTCAGAGTGGCAAGAAGTCTCCTGTGGTTGGGTTTGGGGCATGTTGGAGAACAGAGTAGGCTTAGATTGCAAAACCTTGGTGCCAGAGTCACAAGGGCCCCAGACGTGCCATGCTAGAGACTTGGGATTTCTCAGTAATATATAGCCATGAGAGTTTTGTATTTTTTTAAAGATATTGCCAGCTTATTATTTGTTTGTTTGTTTGTTTGTTTGTCTATGCCTACAGTACCTGCAGCATCTGGTCTTTCTACGTGGTCTCCCGCCAAATACTAACCAGGCTCGACCCTGCTTAGCTTCCAAGATCAAACGGGATCAGGCTTGTTCAGAGTGGCATGGCCATAGACCCATGAGAATTTTAAGGTAGAGAAATTTCATAATC